CAACTCGGTCAAACAGTACCCACATCAGCATGCGGTCTGCCAACGCCAGCGGCCGTACAAGAACTCGCAGAAGCTACGCGGATAGCTCTCCGCCAGATACACGAACAGCTCAGTCATCAGGCGCCGCCGTGCCACTCGATTGTTCTCGACGACGCTCATAGCGTGCGCGCTCCAGCCCTGCTGCGCCCGCACTAGGAGTCACCGCCACCGCGCCGACGCTGCGCAGAACGCTTGTGTTGTTCCCTAGCGCACTGTAATTGCTTTTTTCCCTCGTGCTAATGAGCGCGCTGGAAGCTAAGTTGATTGATTGATTGATTTGTGGGGTTTAACGTCCCAAAACCACCATATGATTATGAGAGACGCCGTAGTGGAGGGCTCCGGAAATTTTGACCACCTGGGGTTCTTTAACATGAACCCAAATCTGAGCACACGGGCCTCGACATTTCCGCCTCCATCGGAAATGCAGCCGCCGCAGCCGGGATTTGAACCCGCGACCTGCGGGTCAGCAGCCGAGTACCTTAGCCACTAGACCACCGCGGTGGGGCGGAAGCTAAGTTGAGAAGGACGGCATGGGAACAATAGTTACCTGGCACACGCGTTGTCACCTTGAGTTGACTGTGGCGTATACAACAACTCTTTCGCGAGGGGGGGGGGGCAAACCTATTTCTCTCGTGAGCCGGTATAATATATATCAAGAGAGAACATCGACGCCCTCACACCCTAATATAAATTTGCATATACAGAGGTTACACAACGCCACGAAGATACCACGAAGTTCAATCACAGTTTCACAGAGCGAGGTATGGCGCCCTTGGCCCAATTTCCGCGTCCAATAATCCGACGCTCATCTTGATATCACGCATCTTTCTCTGATTATGCTTCGTCGAGATGGATTATGCTTCGTCGAGATGGGCTATAGCTGCCATACACCAATACATACATTCGACAAATCCTCCTTTACCAGTGTACAGTAAACATTTCTTTACCTCTGTAAAGGCTCGTTTTACTTTCGTGTTTTATGCTGAGTCCCGTGATGGGGGGGGGGGGGGGAATCAACCATGAATTTTAGACGAATGATTGCTGTTATATTTTTTATAATAATTATTACACTCTTTTGCAAATATTCAGGCTCATGTGTATTAGAATTTGCCTTGTTTGCTAATAGTCCGAACACTGTTTCTGGAGCATGCAATCAATGTTATTTCTATTGTTATATTACTGTACCTCATTACCTACTTCTCAAACCTGTTCTTTGAAGATGTATAATTTCTGGTGTTCGGGGCGTAATTCATTGTTTACACGCACAGTATATGTACAAACATTTCTTAAAGAAGCTTCCAGCAACTGCATAAATGCGTCAATACAAACGGTGTAAACAAATTTTTTTTTGATAGAACAAAATGTGGGCGATTTTAACGTTATACTATCTCTCGTTGCTTACTTTTTGATTGGTCGTCAGCAGTGTATGATTGGTGTAAACAGTGTTATGCACACAGCACCAGCTTGTTACGCGAGGCACAAATGAGGCGAAAATGATCCATCGCGTAATGACTACTTATGCACGACCACGTAAAAGAAATAAGAGAATAAACTATTTTTGATACGCATATTGTTTGCCATTGGTTCCTACGGCATTTAAAGTTTCCGTCTGCACAAAATCATGACGAAGTTCAATCTCATTTTAACATAGCGAGGAATGGCGCCCTTAGCCCACATTCCTCATATTGCTATCACGCCTCTTTCTCTGATTACGCTTCGTCGAGATGGAGATGTAACAAGCGTCAACGATAATACATTCACGTTTAACGGGGCTATAGCTGCCAAACACCAATACATACATTCGACAAATCTTTTACCAGTGTACAGTAAACATTTACCTCTGTAAAGGCGCGTTTCACTTTCGTGTTTTATGCCGATTCCCGTGACGGGGGGGGAGGGGGGGGGAGGATCAACTATGAATTTTCAACGAATGATTGCCGTTATATTTTTTTGTAATAAGTATTACACTTTCTTGCAAATATTCTGCCTCGTGTGTTTTAGAATTTGCTTAGTCTGAACACTGTTTCTGGAGCGTGCAATCACTGTTATTTCTATTGTTATATTATTTTATTTATACAATACTGCAGACCCTATTTGGGTCCAAGCAGGAGGGCAAATACATGAATATAAATATATACATACACACACACTATATATATATATATATATATATATATATATATATATATATATATATCCATGAACAGCAATCAAAAAATCAAAGGAGAAAGTCACAACTAAACAAGAAGTACACTGAAGAAATACGAAAAACATAATAAAAACAACGTCAGAAAAAGATAACAGAAGTAAGAACACATTGCATGCGCATAAACATTTGCCTCTACCCCCGCAAGACACTTGAAATAAAAAAAAGAATTGAAATACAAAAAAGAAGCACTAAAATAAGAAATGAAAGATTAATCAACATGACAATGGCGAACATCAAATAGATATATGTTCTATGGAGTCTATGCTTACTAGTTGTGATAAATGCAGATTATTCCAATCGTTTATAGTGCGCGGAAAGAAAGAATATTTGAAAAGGTTACGTCTGGTCTTATATGGTGTTAAAGAAAATTCGTGACGATGCCGTGTTCGACGTGCTCCAAGTGGTGTCACATACGCGTGTGGGTTTAGAGAGAAAGAGTTGTTTTTCAGTTGGTAGAGAAATTTTAGCCTGTGTATTTTCCTTCGAAGCGGAAGTGTCTGGATATTATGTTGTTTCATTAGGCTAGTGGGAGAGTCAGTTATTCTATATTTAGAAAAAATGAACCTAACTGCTCTGCGTTGAATCATCTCTAGAGCGTTTATGTTAGTTTTTGTGTAGGGATCCCATACGATGCTTGCATATTCTAGTTTCGGGCGAATGAGTGAAGTGTAGGCTAGCATTTTAGTATAATGAGGAGTGTGCTTTAGTTTGTGCCTGAGGATACACAGTTTTTTTGAAAGAAGAGTTACATATGTTGGAAATGTGGTTATTCCAACTTAGGTCACTGGTTATCGTGATTCCAAGATATTTGTATTGGTTGACTTTGGTGAGCGGTGTAGATCCTAGGCTATAAGCGAACGACATCATATTGATTTTTTTTGTTATAGACATGTAGACTGTTTTTTCCTTGTTCAATTCCATACCCCATCGCCCGCACCACGACAAGATGTTTTTGAAGGTTAGAATTAAGCATTAATTGATCATTAAGAGAAGAAACTTCGTTAAACAATATACAATCGTCTGCGAATAGCCTAATTTGAATAGGGGGAAAATTGCGTTAACGATGTCATTTATATATATTAAAAATAGTAAAGGTCCCAAAACACTACCCTGGGGTACTCCAGACGTTACTGACAGTTCATTAGAAGAGTAATTACCGGTTGATACAAACTGTTTGCGATTATACAGATAAGCTGCTACCCAGTTAACTATGTATATGGAAGTTTGTGCATGTATACATCTCTGTGAGCTCATACTTGCTGATAGAAAGAGGAATAGAGAGAAATAAGTAACGCTGCACGTGTGTGCTTCTTTGTTGTCCGAGATGTATTTCGAGCTGTAAAAGATTATTCAAGTTGAGTGAAAACAAACTAGCCCGACTCTTAACTGAGCCTCTGTAGTGCTAAAGACCGCGGTCTTGCACCTTCTCCCCGGTCTGGTGGGTCAAGTTGTGGGGCAAGCTTAAAAGCCGAGCTTAATTCCTACCGAGCTCGAGTCCACTACTTCATTCGGGGCCACTTCGCAAGCTTTTGCTGTGGCTCCAAGTTACCATAAGCAAGGCTGATCAGGTTTATCAGAGACTAAAGCGGAAACAATTTTTGGCGTTTCAGTGCGGAAAAACTTAAGCATCAGAAACGCTTCGTTACACTCATCGGCTCTCAACAGCTTCGACAGAGCAGTGGTGATGATATATCCTTTTCAAAGAAATTTACTTTCTGGAAGCAACAAATGATTGACCGGTCTTAAAAAATTTTGATTGTTCCCATCCGTAACTGCCCTAACAAGTCACATAGGAATAAAAGCATGAACAAGTTACGTAATATTATATGGCCCCTGTTCAGCGCTTGCCTGCTCTGCAATACTACTGCACAATACGCGAAAGCATTGCAAGGCGACCCACACCACAAAGAGCTTAAAAGAAAAATCATCACAGCGGAAATGTTTTGCGAAATTTCACTATGTTACAACATATTCTCGTAACTTTTTGATTCTCTCGTAAGAACATGATTGAGTGATTGCTGTTGTGACGAAAAACGTCGCCTTAATTGTTGGTTTCCCCAGCGTGCAGCCAACAGTGCCCACTGTCGAAAGAGGGGCGGGGGGGGGGCTCAGGGCTCAGCTTTTCTGCCTCAACGTTTCTCAGTGTGGGAGCTCGCACTCCCCTTGCAACCCTCGCGGTCGTTTCGCTAGCTTCACATATACCAAATTTGGTACTACGTGACGTGAATGGACGACAAACAAATGCCAGGCGCAAACACGATAATCATGACGTCGAAATTGCGTACGGCATAGCTCAAAATCACCTGCCGATTTTAAAGTGACATATGAACCTTCCTCATGCGTTCCCACTGTACGTGGAATCTGCCGTTTTGTTTTTTGTTTTGGTATTCTTCAAACACGCGGTGTTCCTTCAGTGTGATCAAGAGCGCTCGTGGGCACGTAGCGGCGTCGATAACTATGCGGCTCACGACATTCAAATAAGTAAATGGCCCTGAATTCGGGTATATGGCGCAGTCATTTGGACATATGGCATCATGTTTACAAGGAATAATTTCTAGCATACTTTGAAAATTTCTCTTATAAATTCCACACCTCGTCCTGCGCGTTTGGCTCGCGTGCTATTTGGAGCCTCGACTACCGATTGGCATTGTTTTTGACCATGCTCAAAAAGTGTTTCAGGACCCCTATAAGCTATTTAAGACAAGGCATATCACAGACAAAGTTAATGCACCGACAGAACGCGTGCCTCTTCATACCTTGATGCAGTCCATGTTCTTGTCCCGCTGTTTATTGTCAGACGCGTTCACCAGAATCTCGTCGAATATCTTGTACAGGCCGGGCACGAATGTGACGCTCCTGTGCTTCATGCCACCACCGCCGTCGTCGTCTTCGGGGTCGTACACCCACATGTTTTGCGTGACGGGCTCGACGGAGCCGACGTACGTGTCCGGGCGCAGCAGGACGTGCTCCAGCTGGCTCATCTTCTGGTAGATGCGTTCCACCGACAGCCTCTTGCCCTTGGACGCTTGGGTGCTTGTCGCCATGTCACCCATGCCGTTGCCACGTCCACCCGCCGACGCTGCAGAGGCAACGGGCGGCTCACCAACGTCTTCCTCTTCCAAGTCGATGACGGAAGACATGCCGCTGCTTAACGCCTGCAACACGGCCCTTTGTTTCTGTACAATATGCTGGGGGAAAAAATTCACGAGTACTTTAAACGAATGATCCCGTAAGTCTGTCACTTCAAGGCTGCTCACCTTTACGTTACTTTCGAGTATTTTCTTGTTGGACCCCAAGCAGTGGCACCTGATTCAGTCACTGTTGAACGTGCACCGCAAGTCCTGCTGCCGTCTTCCGTGCCATGACTGCAGCGACAAATCTCGGCAAGAAGAGGCGGTGCTCACTCCTAAACTTGTATTTGCCTGTACATTGATTCGGTGAACCTATTGACAGACAGAGAAACTGCAGCGCGCTCGGGCTAGCAGCCAGCCAAGAACAGTGACGCCCATCTAGCAAGCCAGCTGGTGCCCAACTGCCAATATGCCACTGAAAAAAAAAAGAAAGAAACCTCCATATCACTGTTACCAGGCGAGATAAACGCACGGCATGCGCATTCGGAGGCTTTCTTGCGTTTTGAGCGTGTCCGTGAACACGTGACAGCTCGTGAATAGGCCATGTGCAGTAAACAAAACAGGGATATCTATACAGTGATGATAAAACAGGTATGCATGGATGAATGCATGCTACGAGCGTAGCCTTTATGGCGTGGTGGTGACATGTGCTTCACCAGACTCAACAATAGCGGAGGCCCTTTTGTAGAAGTAATAATCCTAAATTTAAACAAAACGTAGATATTTGCTACTAAAACGCCTTGCTTTGGGCAACACCACTTTTGTTAAAGCAACGCCACCTAGATTATTGGCTCAGGCCTCTGTCGGGTCCGATCGGGGGTGAGGCCAGGCCGGGCTGGTGATTTTTTTTTTTTGAGGGGGGCGGCGCTTGGGCTCTCGCTTTGAGTCACTGGGCCGGGTAACTTCAACGATTGCCGGGCTTGAGCCGGACCCGGACCGATGACCACGGTCTTTGAAGTGCTCTAGCGCGATTACTTGTTCCGTGGCGTTATGCGGTTGGCCACTCGGCCATCACGCATGCATCATTTGTATACTAACAGCGAGCTATTTTCCTCAGCTGGTTTTTGTCAATTCAAATATACATGCTGCCTCAACGACCGTGTTGTGGACTTTTGCAGCACTGCTCAGCATGCGCGTCGCGTCGTCTGTTCGGCGTCACCGTAGCGTCTGTGCACACGCGAGTTTTAAAGACGACAGTCGTTCTTGGGGTACCTCGACGCAAAAGTTCCGGTATGTATGTCTGTACATTTGTCTGTTTGTGCATGGTAACGATTTTCCTAAACGCACCAAACGGTAGGTCAAACGGCCAACCCCATGCATATAGCGCCCATCAATATTGCTCAAGCTTCAGCGTTCATACTTGTGCAATTGCCAATTAAAAAGTAATTATTGCGAATATCTGACGTACAATTACAACACGTCAATATTTTGTATCTGTGGCTTTATACTAGAAAAGGCACACATAGGTAGCCCCGCCGTGGTGGTCTAGTGGCTAAGGTACTCGGCTGCTGACCCGCAGGTCGCGGCATTGAATCCCGGCAGCGGCGGCTGCATTTCTGATGGAGGCGGAAATGTTGTAGGCCTGTGTGCTCAGATTTGGGTTCACGTTAAAGAACACCAGGTGGTCGAAATTTCCGGAGCCCTCCACTACGGCGTCTCTCATAATCATATGGTGGTTTTGGGACGTTAAACCCCATATATTAATCAATCACATATCAATCAATCAATCACACATAAGTAATTCTAAGGACGGTAGCGTTTATCACGCTGCGCTGACAGTGCAACGTGACGATCAAAAAGGCTAGTGTTTCCAACATTTTGCTAAGACGACACGGTGGTGGCACCTGCCCGTCGCTTTGCATTCTACACCTGATCGCCTTATCAAGACAGGCGCGCATCTTTCTCCGTGCGCGCGCACGCCTTCCTTCGTTTTCGAAGATAACTACCAGATAGCGCTCGTGTTCAACGTGCCTCGATGCACTCGCTCGCCTTCGCTGCACGGATCGAGACTCTCTAACGCAGCACTTCCAGAATACAATTCAGCAATTTTCTCGCACAGAACATCAAATAAACGTTTTGTTCACTCTCTCCACACGCAAGACTATCGTCTTTCGACGACATTTGCAGTAAAACATGCAGATACGGGGCCAATTTTTTATTATAGTCACATTATGATGAGCGTATTATCTGCAGCAATGCGTACTTAGCATAAAAATGAGGTTTTTCTCAGATGTTGAATATTCTGATGGAACTCAATTTATCAGCGTGGCCGTCGTTAACAATCTGAAATGAAGCACTGTAGATTCTTACAGTAAGTCAAATATTGAGGGAGAAGAAACAAATATTTGGTGCCATATACATGGAGCTGATGTTTCCGAATGCGGGAGTTCACTGTTGATCAGGCAGCCAGGAGACTGTCAAAACGCTCTGCTGGGAAGTGCAAGCGCGGCACTTCGCAAGAGGCCACCGTACGCACGAGAATCGCGTTCCGAAAATCCCACTTTATTCTCTTCAACTCCTTACATTACCATGAGGGCGCGACTAGTCAGTTACCATTTATACGCACTCTCTACATTGCCCCCTTCCAAAGCAGGAATGTATTATGTTTAAGGAAACCCCACAGTCACGCAAACACATGCACAAATCAGTCACAAGGTCAGAGCCTCAGTCCGCGATTAGTCTTCAAACGTCTTCCAAAACGTGAATACCGAGCACAAGGAGACCCCGGAACTGGTGTACTTTCACGCAGCTCGTTGTCCGTCGCTGACTGACCAGTTAAGCAGTTAAGACATCCTGACTGTGGTCATCTGCAGCATCCGACACCAGGCCTAGAGATTCAACGGTACGTTAATGAACATCCATGCAGTCTTTTGCCTGTTGTACGGGCGAGGGTGCCTTGGATGTATTCCTCAAAGAAGCGAATGAGGGAGTGCCTAATGGACACGGGGAACTGGCGCTTAAAGGAACACTGAAACACTTTTAATAAAGAACGAAATTTTGGCGTCATGACATGTGATTTCTGGCCACGAACTCAAAAACCAAGCCGAAAATTTGCATAAACTGGCGCAAATATATTTATTTTGCCGAAAAAAAGCAACAGGCACTGCGGCCGTCATTGCGATCTCACCGCCACAGTGATTGGTCGAAGCTCCATGACGTCACTGTACGGAAAGTGAGGAGAGGACAGCCAATGCTCAATTGATATGTGGGGTTTAACGTCTCAAAACCACCATATGATCATGAGAAACGCCGTAGTGGAGGGCTCCGAAAATTTCGACCACCTGGGGTTCTTTAACGTGCGCCCAAATTTGACCACATGGGCCCACAACATTTCCGCCTCCATCGGAAACGCAGCTGCCGCAGCCGGGATTCCATCCCGCGACCTACGGGTCAGCAACCGAGTACCTTAGCCACTAGACCACCGCGGCGAGGCGACAGCCAATGCCATCTAGACAACTTCAGGCCTGCTCACTGTGTCTACCTCGGCCTTTGGCGTCACTCCGTTGTGACCGGCGTGTTTCGCTGTACAGAAATATAGAGGCACAGACGTGCCTACGCTTGCTCTCGTTGCTCGACATAGATGAATTTGCAAGTCACACTAACGTTTTCGTGGCGTGCTGGTGTGCTTGTTGGCGACTCTAGAAGACCGTCTTTTTTTTATGCCCATAAACTGCAGCGTGAATATGTGATGTGTTTTGTGCACTGGGTATTCGCAATATGTACGGCTGCAAATCCGAACGGTTGGGGCTGCGTGGCGAATTGTCGTGGCAAAGGGATTGAAGTTGCGAGCGTTCTCGTTTCCTGAGGGAAACCGAAGAACGAAATTTTAGTGTGTCGTTCGTCAAGCTGACGTCGGCATTCGTTTTCTTCGTGACCTGAAGGTACATACGTGTGTCCGTACTACCTATTACTAATTGGGACCAATTGCACCATCTCCATCATGTTTCGTTCTTGCTCATAAATAAACGTGTCATGTGTGCTCCTGACTTGTTGGCGTAAGCCCTGGCATTAAAATAATAAACGCGCGTGGCAGTACGATTTCAGAACAGGCGTTTTTCCTTATGGTCGGTAAACATTTTACTATTGGCGATTAGCGCGGCAGACTTGTATTACTTCCGTTCATTTGGTTGATAAAAATAGAAGGAATGACTTAACGCAGCGATTTTGTGCATAGTATTTTGTTGCCGGTATTCATACCACTTTATTGCGGTATTATTGTGGTCAGCACCTTAGCGTAATGTATCCTTGAAATTTAGATGCGTGTCTACTCTAATGGTAAACAGCTTTCTTAATTGGTTTTCAGTTGTTATTTCTACTTCAAGCTAGAATATTTCACAACCAGTACCAAAAATATACCAATACGAGAACCGGCAGTGAAGTGGAAGTGAACATGGGGGCTACACGGTATAATTAGACCCAGTACTAACGTTGTTTTTTTTCCAGGGCCCAAGTTATATGACCGACTACGCATCACTGCGAGAGTGCCCCAGAGCAAAATAACAAACGACACTGCTTGTGTTGATCACAAGATTTTTCTTTGATAAGCGAAATATTTTGTTTTCTCTTACAATGGTCATGACCATGTTATTGTGCTGAATGACATACTTGGGCAGCAACACACACTCTCCTCAATTACGTGTCTACGAAGACATGTGTTCGAAATAGTATAAATGAAACTGCTGAAAGTTTGCAAATATGTAGGAACAGTTTCTCTGCATGCTCTACATAGTGTGTGTGTGCGTGTGTGCGTGTGTGTGTGTGTGTGTGTGTGTGTGTGTGTGTGTGTGTGTGTGTGTGTGTGTGTGTGTGTGTGTGTGTGTGTGTGTGTGAAAAAAAAATTAATCTTGTTTATTTCGTCACTTTGTTAGTCCATCAAATTTTGCTTTTATAGATCGACCACCAGTTCGATAGCGCACAATCTTTGACTGATTGAGAAATGACTCACACGTGAATCTCTAAATGCTTTGAAGCGCAATAATTCAGCCTCACCGCGGTGGTCTAGTGGCTAAGGTACTCGACTACTTAC